TCCCTGGTTTCAGCCCTGCCCCCTCACTGGATCCCAGCCATGACAAACTGAGGCTGTCCTGGAGCCCTGCTCCAACCAGGGGTCTGCAACTGCTACATAAACAGCAGTCTCCAGCCACTTGCACAGCTCCCTGCAGTGTACCGACACCCCCTGCCTTACCCCATGCTGCAACACAGGCCCTTTTAAAGGCTCACTTTGGCGTCCTGTAAACCTACTCATGGTTTATTTCTCAGGTAATGAGGGCTCCAAAAGTCCTACAAGACTGCTTATATTCTTATCCTGAGTAGTGTAGACAGAGCAGTCTATTCAAAAGAGCCATAAACACTAGGGGCTGTTAGGACAGCAGAGCTCCGGAGACCAGCAGCCAACAAAGATCAGCAGCAGAGACCAGCACTGGCGAGAGTTGATCTACAGTGTCCGGCACAAGCTGGCGCTGGATGGTGGAGGCAGACATTGGTAGTGAACAGCAGCTGTGTCAGCTGTCAGCATCCAACATTATCCAGTGTCATCTGGTGATACCAGAGCTGTACTTTGCTGACTCATGACTTCCATCTGTATTGAGCAAAAGAACCCTGGGCTGATTGGCAACACTATCTTAGTCTTAAAATCCTCATGACTTTTGACACAATAACTTCATTTTTTGAATTCTACACATGACAAAGCAGAAATAATTTTACATACATAAAGGCTTATGCACAAAAGTTTTTAGTTTTATTCATAGAACAATTTATAGTTTATAGCTAATATTTGAAAACAACCTAAATGTTGTTTTAAAGGGAAAAGGTTACATTATTCACCCAAGAAAATTTTATGCAGCCATTAAAATGTTTTTTGAAATTGTATGATAGCATGATATATGCATTTGATATAATACCAAGTGAAAAAGCAATTTGCTTACTTGTGTCTAAATATGATTACAATCACCTAAGATAACTCTGCAACAAAAAGACTGAAAGGGAAATTACTAGTGTGCTAAAAATGGGGTTTGAGTAGGGAAACAATGGATGATTTTAAAATAGTCTTTTTTCCCATGTATTTCTGTAATTCCCTATTTTCTTTAATAGTGAGTCTCCTCGCCCACACACAATGCCACTTGAGGTTCTTGTTCGTAATTCATGAATAAACTCATGTAACAAAGGCCAGCTCAGTTTGAACTGTTTTCTTTGGGCAGAATGTCATCGTCATTTCATGAGAAATGCAGTTGGGACAGAGAGTAGCTTTGGACTGCATAATACCACAATTTAATACAGTTTTCATTTAGTGGAGTGGCATAGACTGATAAAATGAAAGAAAGCAGAACACCTTTGAGAGGAGAGGGGGGAAGCAGAATCTTTGTACCAGTCACAGAAGTTGCAGAAATTCCACAATCAAGGCAATAGAATTCCAGAGCAGAGTTCATTGCCTGACTGGGAAAAAAAAATCCCACAAACCTTATCTCTTTAAAGAAATAAGCAAACCCCAATTAAAATAGATTTTATGCTATTTGTTTTTTTAGTATTATTTATTTTTAACCTAAAGTCATCAAATTAAAGATATTTTAGAACCCTAAGGTAGAATTATATACTTTTGGTTCTTGCCATGCTGGAGGTTGAGCCTAGGGCCTGAGGCACACGAGCTGGGTAAAGCTCTTTACACTGAGTCGCCGCTTCAGCCTTTTCTTTTTCTTTTTTTTTAGTACCGAGGATCGAACTCGGGACCTTGTGCTTGCGAGGCAGGCGCCAGAACCACTGAGCTAAATCCCTGGCCCTACTTTTGGTTTTTATAGTGCTTTGTCTTTTTCTGATTATAATGTATAAAGAAAGGAATGAAATTCTCTAGTAATCCTGGCATACATAGAGTGGTCAATCTTAAGATTTATGATATAAAATCTCTCTGTCTCTGAGATGGAACTACCATTTCTTGAGTGCTTATCAAGAGCTTGGCACTGCTTGGAAGATTTTACATGCATTAATTCACTTCCTTCACAGGACGATCTTCTGAGGTAGATACAGTAAGTATCTGGTGAAAATAAATTTCTTAAAAAAGCCCACAGCTTGGAAAAGCCATGATGTGTGAGTCTAGGCAGAGGGCTAACCTCTCTTTCCCCTAACATCAGTATATCTATAAATAAATATTTACTATAGTGAAATTATAGACCACCTAATATTTTGTAACCTGCTTCCCCTGCAATGTGTCTGAACTTCATTCCAAGTCAATAGATATTGACCTACTTCATTTTTTGGGAGGGGGAGTGTCAGAGATCGAACTTGGGACCTTCTGCTTGTGAGGCAGGCGGCGGAACCACTGAGCTAAATCCCCGGCCCCCCCTACTTCATATTTTAATAGCTGTATTGTATTTTGTTACATGGGTAATGTATTTAACCATATTCCATATAGTTGGATATTTTAAAGTTTTCAGTATTATAAACAACAAGGACATGCACATCCGTACACTCAAATGTAAACTTAAGAAATTATTTCATTAGAATAAATTCTCAGAGGAGAAATGCCCAGGGGAAAGTGAACATTTTCAAGTCTGTTATCAACAAGAAAAATTGTGACCGATTATTTTTCCTCCCAGTTGGCAGAGTGCTTTTTTCTATATTCTAGCGTTTGTCAAACCTTCCTTAATACACTGTAAGAAATTCTGTATAGCAATCCTCTACACACACACACACACACACACACACACACACACACACACACTCTGAGTTCAAGGAAAGTTTGTATTTTCCTGACTAGATGCCACAAACTCTTTTCCTCTTCTCTCTTCTTTTCCTTTCCTTTTCGAAAACTTCTAAAAATACCAGATCCAGTCCACTAAGTTAATTAGTTTCTTGACTCAAAAAACACTATATTAATGCTTGGGTATTTGTATTTCTTCAAAAATTGCCTGATGATCTGAGATAATGACAAATTACCATTTCATTTTTCTGTAATTTCTAGAGAGGCTGAATATTTTGGAAAATAATCCTTTGGGAAAGAATAAACTGAAATCCATTATTTCTTAACCTTCAGTACACATTAAAATTTTTTAAAAAGAATCCTTTAATCACTTGGTGGACAAATAATCTCTAGAGATTCATCCTAGGCATCAAAATTTGTGGCCAAGACTGAGAACAACTGCTGTAGGTGGTTATGGTAAACTGGAGATTTGTGTGACAGTGTTGTCCATGACACACTTAGATTCTTATTTTAAAAAACTTGGTTTGATTTCTTTTTGGATGTGATATTTATTTTGAAATCTATTTGAAAGGCATTTAAATCAATAAATATAGTGAACTTTCTAAAATGTTCTTTTCTACTGTAAGATCTCTGATTGTTAGGCACATGTTGCTTCTGAGAGTTATTCTTTATTTAAATTTAAGCCCTTTAATATTTTTTGTGAGTCTATCCTGTATAAGGCGCAATGCCCGATCTGTGGGATTGGAAGAGGAGCCAGCAGCTCACGATGTCATAGACACCTAATTTATGTGTGCAAATAACTGCCGATATAACTCCAGAAAGAACATAATCATTTCATCATCATATGATTTAGAAATAAGACCATTTAAAACCTATGTTTCTGCTGTCCTCATACTATGGCTCATTTATGATAATTTTTACTTATGTCAAAAAGCAATAAAACTTTGGAAACTCTTTTAGTTAGATTTGAATAGACTATGTTTGCCTTTTTAAACACCATACAGTAAAAAATATCATAATCATCTGAAGATTAATTCAGGATCAAGTATAGAATTAGAGAAGGGTTCTAAGTTTAGCTTGTAAACTGTTAGCTGCATAAGTCGCAGTTCCTAAAACCCAGTGTTTACTTGTATCTTATTTAGTGATGAATTATGGCAAATTCATTTGATTGGAAGTAGTTGAGATTCTCATGAATCAAATTATATTGTGAGAAAACCGCAGAGCTGTTTGCTATTTCAGAGCTCTGTTAGAGAGTTCCAGTTACTACTGGACAAACCTCCCAGAAGGTCCTCTGGAACCCCAGGTTTAACAGGTCTGCCCAATATGGTTCTTAGCTCCCTCCTGCCTCTTCCAAAGCTGGTCTTCCCTCTATTTGTGGCAATCTGCTTTGTCTTAAGACAAAGGTGTCTTTATATTACTGTGGCTGTTTCCTCAGAGAAGCACAATGCTTGCTGATTCAAACCAGGCTGGGGGAGCTTGGTGGAATGTGGATGGGGTGGGGCAGGGGTCTGTGTGCCTCAGCACTGGCCACTGAGATTTCAGCTCTGAAAACTCAAGGAGGCTGCTCCTCCTTCTCTCTTCTCTGTTGTGTAGGGACAAGAAAGACAGTCACAGAAGACTCTCACATCACCAGCCTCTGTCACACTTCTCTCCTGGAGGAGTAAAGACAGCAGAGGTGCAAATTAGCAGCAGGTATCATCCCAAGGTCCAGCAGAGGTGACAGATATAAATGAGTTCCAGAAGGGCTTGATAAATTGATACATGATGTGTGGCTAAGAGAGCTGGTGTTGAGTGGAAGGAGACCATTCATGCCTTCCAATGGCATCTGTCTTTAGTCTGCTGTTGGCCATACCTAGGAATTCCCAAGTCTCCCGGTTCCTCTGCTGCTGTTCCCCTCAAAGTGTGGTGGAGTAGGAAAAGCTTTGACATTGAGCGAGTTATCTAACCTTTCTCATCTCAGTCAAAATTGTCTATAAAATCATGTATAACACCTACATTATTTCTTATGGAAATGCCAGCACAGGGCAGGACCATGAGTATGCACCTAATAAATGACATCCCATTAGAAGCAGCCAGGATGAGACACCCAAACACAACCAGCTGGGCCAGGGCCAGAGATCTCAGAAGAGCAAGTGGAGTGTGCAGTAAGGGGCTAGTGTGTGTTGGGAGGTGTAGTTCAGCCACTGCCCTGCCACCTTCTGCAGTGTGAAGTACTCACTCATGGAGCGGCATGGCTCTGGAACAGAAGTGGGAGAACGCTTATGGGTCCAATTAGACAATGGATCAGCTGTTTGGTTTTCATCTGCCCCTCATCCAGTGTTATCTACTGATGAACAGGAGACTCCAGACACCTAGAGAAAGAACAGAAAGTCCAACGGTTTATGAGGCTTCGAAGCTCAGGTAACTGGAGGGTGGGTTTTCTTCTTGTGTGTGTTCACCAAAGGACAATGATCAAGTGGTCAAACTCAGACAGTAATTTTTCAGAGCTGGAACGTGGAAAACAAGGAGAGCAATTCATCCTGTTGGGTCACATCCTCTTCATGATGCAGGAAGTGGGGTAGCAGACCAAGACGGTTAGAAAAACATGACGTTAGGAGGCTTTTGCACGGTATATGTGTATGTGTGTTTTCGTTTTTTATTCTGTGAATCATCAGGCTGTTGGAAGTCCTCAAGCTTGTTGTCAAATAAAACTGGCTAAAAGCCAAGTCTTTATCTGACTGTATTAAGCTTCAGCTCATGTCAGCCTAATAAACAGAAGCTCATCCTATTGGCCACCTGCAAAAATGGCCAGGGCCCCGAGTGCTCCTTCCAGGAATAGGAGTGTAATGTTGGGAATTTCTACGACAGTCCCAGGGAGCATGAGACTGTAGATCTTGTCCAGGAATAGGGATGTTGTGGTTTTGCTCCAGGAGAAGAGATGGATGCCATTTGTGAGTACACAACACTGCTCAGGGCATAATTTATCCTTCCTTTATTCGGCTGCCTCACTGGACAAAAGAACTTTAGGTGTCAAGAATGGCACAAGTCCCTTCTGGCCCTGTCCTTTTGCCTTCACTGCTCTCATTCATTTCCCTTTCTTCTTCCTTCCCCTTCCTTTGCCTGTGTGTCAGGCAGGAGCTTCCCACACTGCTGTCCATGGGAGTGAGTTGAAGGAGAAAGGGTTTTTCTCCTTCCTGACTTTTTTTTGGGTTTTGGTTTGATAGGTAGCATCCTTGCAAAAGCTAGTTGAGTGACCTCCTCCAGTTCTGAACTTTCTGGGAACTCAGGACTGCCATGCTTCTAAGATAAGTCAAGTATTCAGCTTTTTGAACTGCTGATCCCAAGAATGGATCTTTAAAGTTTAAAAGCCATGTTCTTTGCAATTCATACTCAATGGTTTTCTAACTTTAAAAAACGGGTTTCTTTTAGTCTGTGGTCAGTATATGTGCTGGGAATGTGTGGTAATAACTAGGAAATTATCTCAAGATCATCTATGAATTACAGGACTGAATAGCAGGGACACTTCTAGGTAGGTATGTGTGTTAAAGGCTTCACTTGTCATCTACTGATTTCAGATTTTAATATTTAGAAAAGGAAATAAAAAGGCCTCAGATTTCTGGGTAAGTAGTAGAATTTTTAACACTAAAAATTTTAAATAATTTAAGCCCAACACAAACATTATATATAATTTTATCCCCAAATGAAATTCTATTGCCAGTTGTAGTGGCACATGCCTGTAATCCCAGCACGTTGGGAGTCTGAGGCAGGAGGCAAGTTTGAATTCCATCTAGGAAATATAGACTCTGCCTAAAAACAAAAGCAAAAAAGAAATTGATAAAAAGGCTGGGGATGTAGCTTAGTGTGAAGTATTACAAAACAAAAAAAAAGGGTTTTTATTTTTTCGCATTACCTTCTAGTTCTCATGGCATGCAATTTTTATCTAATTACAGTATTATTATTATTACTATTTTATATTTTCCTTAAATTTATGTATAAGACATTTACAAAAAAATGACAATTAGACTAACTTTTGGTGCTAATGGACCGAGCAGCAGAATGATCACAGAAAGTGTGTCTTTCCTTTCTGGCTTTGCCTTTAAAGCTTTCATGTTTTAGTATTTCAGTTTACACTATGAAAAACCAGGGCTTATGAATAGATACCCTACAGTTATTCTGGGTGGAAAATTAACTGATGTGATTTCAGAATTCCCAATATAGAAAGATACGATTTCAAATGCTGCAATACTGAAAAAAGTGTCTTTTCTTTCTTCACTTTTTCCTTTTGCACTGTTCCCACTCATTCCTTCCCTGAACCCTGGGTAAATCTAGAAGCAAAGATCCTCCTTGTGAATCTCCTGAGTTGGGTCTGAGGTCATTCCACAGCTGAGCCGGCAGACACCTGGGGTCCCACTAGGCAGAGGAGGAGCCTGAGCTGCTGCTGGCAGAGTGCCTTGCTGGACACCTCACAGGTAGGAGTTAGTGTCCCACCCAGACCTTTGCAATTAGATGTAATTGCAGGTCTGGCTCTTTTGCAACAACTGCGCTGCCTTTCAGTGCAGATTCTGAGATAGAAATAATGACAAAAGCTGACATGTTTTAGAGTAGACTGTTGGTTCTTTGAATGGTATGATCTCTGTATTTTTCTTCTGGTTTTGGAGCTTGACTTCATTGTCACTAATTCTGAAAGCTGGGAACATTCATTATTGGACATCATTGGTTAGAGAATATGGTTTTATGTAACAGAAAATGTATTTCAGAAATGTAAACTGGAAGAAAAGAAACTCAGCATATTTCCGGATGTCTGTGTTCCCTTCTTGTAAACTTTTTGGTTAGTTCAAATTGTAATAAAAAGTTTACTGAGTGAAGGATAAAAATAGCTTCTTTCGTAGTTTTACCTCATACAGCAACTGTACATTGTGCTTTTCCATGGAAAGAGCTATTTTTAGAAAGAATGCAAAGCACCCTCAGCTACATGAGTAATAACTATTTGGCAACATGATGCTTATAACAGATGATCACTGAGCTCTTTTTTGGAAGGTTTGCAACTTGTTTTTCTTTTATGCAATTACTATGTGTTGTTTATGATACACAAAACCTCATTTAACTATAAAAATCAAAGGATATATGTATAGGGCTTTAGGGATTCCTTCTACTTCCTGTACAATGACTTACAATTTTAATGTGCCAAGTTGGACAAATGGAAAGGAACCAAGAGATGGAGGGAGGGGAGAGTTGAGAGGGGAAGGGGAAGTAAAAAGGATTAAGATGTGTTATGTACACGTACCAACTCCCCATGATGAATGTAGTCATTATGTACTGCAAACACGTACTAATGGAAACAGAAAGTAAAATAAAGGAAGGGGCATTAGGTGTTACACACTGTTTAGCTACAAGATAGAAGAAAAAGCAGCATGTTTGTTGAAAGAGAAGGAGGCGATGAATAGCTTACAGCAGGTTTGCAAATACATAATGTAAGTAGACAGCTTACCATTTAAGATTTTAAATAGTAAGACAACAACAACAAAGCAAAAATAGAAAATTGTAAACCTGGAACAGAATGTAAACTACTTCACACTCATCTGTCCTCCCTGAAGCAGGAGGTAGCCTCAGGGAGTTGTATTTGAAATCTATGAAGTGAGAGGATTGGCGAATGAGATGATCCTGGGGAGAGAGAGTGGATCATTTTCTTTATGGTTTTTAAATTCTTAATTATTTGCTTTTTAGTTTAGTGTAGTTTTCCATAGATCCAGAAGTTTAGTCATCTCACTTAAATGCAGACAGAGTTGATCCTCTACTCTCTATTTGGATTATTCAAATGGCTAACTAAAATAGAAAAAGTGACTAAAATGTAAAATTTTAGATGCAGAGAGTCATGGTTTCCTAGAATTATATACTGAACACCAGACATATTGTAGAGATGATTCCTGAGGTAGGTGGGTAGTCTCCCTCATCTCTGAGATTCTATCATTCTATGACTATTTCCTCTGCCGGGTCTGGTAAGTTTCCTCTGGGAGATGATCTTTCAGCCACTCAGAATATCAGAGAAGTTTTGACCAAAAATAATTTTCAGAGTAAAACTCAGTGTCAGATACTTTCCTCTTGGAGGAAGAACTAGTTAATCTCTAAAACAAATTTTAAGAAAGAAGAAACAAACACAAGTTAAAAAAATATAACTACCATTATTTCCACTGGAGAAGTAATCAGTATCTTGACATAAAAGTTACGTTTCAGCTGTCACCCCCCATTTATAAACAGAGTCATGGCTTTACTGATGCTAAGTTTGGACAACTAATACTCTTCAGAATTGGGCATATATTTTTCTCTGAATTTCATTGTAAAACAATGTACAATTTGGTTCAGATTTCATCCTGTATCACTAAGAGTGATAATTTCATCAATAATTCAAACAAGTTGAAATTTACAGATTTAGAAAGAAATAATAAAAATGCTTTGGTTTGAGTTACATGTTGTGTGAAGATAAAAAAAACTTTCAAACCATTCATAGAATGTTCTAAATATGAAGAAAGAGGTATTTGGAAAGTTACCAAATGAGCCAGTTGTCTGCCTGGTGTCTCCATGTTTGTGGACCTCAGCTCCTGGATGGCTCTGAACCTGAAAGGGTTATAGATGAGCTCCAGATAACGGCCCTACAATGAGCTTAATTTCATCTCCATGTTAATGGGAGTAAGGCTTAACTGGAAGTTAGAAATTTTGTGATGGACATTTCAGTCTTAGAAATTCAGTGATCTTGGATTCATTGCTATAGATTTGGAAGAAAGGTGGTGCATTGGGTTGGATTAGTACCCTGGGCCCTATGGTTAGCGTAGATTCTTATATTCTCATGCAATGACTGATCCCTTCCCAAGTGGAATAATCATAAAATTACAAAGGTTTTGAAGAAGAAATTAAAGATAACACACAGAAGCTTTTATGCTTTCAAAAGATCAATTTTTGTCCAAACCAATTTTCAAGCATAAAATGGATGACTTATGCTTGAGGAAAATTAAAGCTGAAAAATAGCTATAAATTTAAATTTAAAAACTCATCTATGCAACAGTTACCTCAGTTTTCAAAAACAACTTTATGAGGTATAATTTATGTACTATACTCATTCATTGTAATTTCATAGTTTGATGATTTTTAGCAAATGTATATTCGCCACCATTTCTACAATATCAAAGTTAGAATGCTTCCATTCCCTTCCAAAAGTTCTGGGCTCCTGGCCTCAGTCCCTTCTCCGTGACTCCATAGTTTTACCTTTTCTAGAAATTTTCGGCAAGTAGAATCAAGCAGCATGCAGTCTTCTATGCTGGCATCTTTCACTTATGTAATATTTTGGGTTTTATGAGTGTCATTGTATGTTTTGTAATTTGTTCCTTTCCATTGCTGAGTAGTATTGTATTGGACTGACTATGTTATGTTGGCTCATTAACTAGTTGATGGACATTCAGCTTGTTTCTGGCTTTGGGTTATTATAAATAGTGCTGTTATGAACATTTGCATTCTTTTTTTATGAGGACATATGTTTTCATTTCTCATGGGGTGCAACCTGGTGTGGAACTGGTGTAGAACTGGGTAGAACCAATGTAGAACTGCTTGCTTATGTGAGAAACTGAAAATGCTTTCCCAAGTTGCTGAGCCACTGGCCCACCTAGCTGCCTGCTGGCCCAGGTGGCTGAGTGGTAATTGTCTGTAGTCTCCTGGGGGTGGGGGCCAAGCTATGGCTCCAGGGATTTTGCTGAGTCTATAGCCACTAAACTCTTTTCCCTAAAGTCTTGTCACCTCACTTCCACTCTCCTAGAATCGATTTCCTGCCTCACTGCTCCTTAAAAACACTTCTTGCTTGTCCTCTGAGTTCTGTTGCACGAGGATTGACATTCATTCTCCACTTTGCCAAAATCCTCTTGTAAGAAATTATAAAGCTTAGTTCCCTGGTAGACATAATGGATCAGAGAAAATCCAGGGAGCATTAGCACCGTTTAAAATTTCAACAGATAACCCTGTTGTGGGGAGGAGATACCAAAGTTACTGAAGATAGAGGGAAATATTTCTTCCCATTTCTAGAGAATTTACTCTTTCTAGATGTATAGAGCATCTAGAATTTCCCCAGGAATAGATGGTTCCTCTTTCACATTCTCCCCACTAACCACAGAGGACTAGCCACAGAGGCAAAGGCTTGTGTTTGGGAAGTTTGGTAGTGTTGAAGTCTGTGTGACTTCACTTCTGGTGATAAATCTTGTGTGTGAACTCTGGGGCCGGCCGGCATCCAAAGTAAACGGCAATTGTTGTGGTGAAGGCTGCATGGGCGGCCGCACAGGCTGCACTTCAGCTCCAGCCAAGCTTCTGGTGACTATGATTCCCTAGGGCTCTTTGGAGGGCTGGCCTTGGATTCTGAGAAGCACTCATCCCCTGATCTCCTTCAGTTCAGCCCTTAGCAACCCAGTCCCTTCCACTGGGGACAGGGGTCAGGTGCACACCTGCCTCCTCTCCCCACACTAGGGGGACGGCAACACGCCGGCCAGGGTCCTGTGCGCTGCCTCCTGTGGAATCTCCTGGTCAGACTAGCCAGGCTGTGTTTTTTGAGCACAGAAACTGGAACTGATTCTCTATAATGACCCAGAAAAAGGGAAGGTTCAGGCAGTACTCCAGGCAGCTGTCTAATCTCGCCTTGCTCACTTACTCTCCATACCGTTGCCTTTGAGTTTCCCTCTGTCTGGAATGCCTTACCCTGTTCTCTTCCTTCTCCTGGTGAAAACTCTGCTGATTCCCTGATGCAGAAGGGAAACACCATCTCCTGTGGGAAGCCATTACTCCCCTTCCCTAACCCTTTATCCTACAGCTCTTTGTTCTTAGCTCTGTTATAATATTTATCAAATCATGTTATAGTGGGTCGTTTACCTGCCTGAGTGCAAGAACTTTAAAAAAAACCTCTTTAGCCCTGGGATCTAGCGTGGTGCTTGGCATAGATCAATGACAATTATGATTATGCTAATATTTATTATCTATTATGTGCCTGGCTGGTGCAAAGCACAGTGCTAGAAGCTCCAGATACATTATATACTCAGTCTCCACACCAATTCTACAGGTAGCCTTTGGTGTTCTGAATGGGACAAGGGGTGTACAGAGGTCTATAACTTGCTTAATGTCCCATAGCTAGTCAAGGATGGAGCTAAGGTTTGAATTCACATCTATGCAACAAAAGGCCAGTGTTTTAATCAATTAAGTTGTACCATTTTTATAGACGTTTAAAAATGTTTCATTAGTACACGTTCACAGTACATAATGATTAATTTATTGTGAGGAATTCATACGTGTATATAAAGTCTTAATTCTTTTTTTGTGCCCCGCCCCTCCTATCCCTCCCTGCTCCTTCCAACTCTTTCTTTTCCCATTTACAAAAGCTCTATTTACATGTTTCCCCTCCAATTCTTTTTTCTATCCCCTATCTCTCCCCCTTTTCCCCTCCTTC